CGGGAGTCCCACGTACACGGCCGCGGTGTCCGAGACGGCGGCCCCAGGGAGCCCAATTATAACAATCACAGCGAAGGATCGCGACAGCGAGCGGTAAGGGCTCGTTAATTTCGCGCTTTGTGCCGCGGAACTTCAAAAGCGCGTCCTTCGGTCCTCATTCACGTCCCCTCATTCTGTGTCCCGCAGCTTCGGCACCGCCGGCATAGTCTACCAATTACTTGGCCAGGGCGCGGAGCACTTTGCGATCGACAAGAAAAGCGGTTCCATCACCGTTGCGCCCTGCCTGACACCCGGCACGTCGCCCTGCCTGGATTACGAGCAACAGATGGAATACTTTCTCACCTACAAGGTACTCAATCGTGACTGCAGCAGTGCTCGCCCGAAAAATATGTGTGCCAATTATTATGAAATCTTTTTTATGAAACTTTATTCGAGGATTCTATTAGTTAATTATGTCTTTACTCCATGATAATATTTTTAATATATAATAATGCGTATGTTAAAATAAGAAGGCGGAAGCTAACAGAATTTTATCATTTAAAATTACATTTTGTGGAAATAAAATGAATTCATTATTATCATTGCAGCATAAATTCAAACTTAATTAAAATATTTAACGCTTGATCTATTAAACTACTGTTTGAAAAACAGTTTCGTTTCGTTTACATATTCTTCTCAGTCTGCTACTGTTCGCACGTAGAAAATCAACATTCAGCAAACACCTTTTGAGCGAGGACTGTCTTCTTTTATCAGGCGACGGACGACAACGGCGAAGGGCAAACAACGAGCGTATCGTTGCGCATCAGTCTAATAGATGCGAACGACAGTCCGCCGCGCTTCCTGCAGGACAAATATCGCGCGGTGGTGGACGAGGGCGCCGAGAAGTTCGAGCCCGAGCTGAAGGTGCAGGCGCGCGACAAAGACAAGACGTCCAAGATCACGTACGCCCTGGTGGGCGGTAACGAGCTCGGGCTGTTCGCCGTCGATTCGGACACCGGCGAAATCACCATCAAGAGCCCGGTCGACATGACC